ACTCACTGCTCAATGGCAAGTTTCTCTTCTGTCATCCATTTTGGTCTTCTCTTCTTTTGTTGTCTTTTTAGTGACCTCTTGCTTTCTTCATGGATGATGTTCTTGATATCATCCCACAACTCTTCGGGTTTTTGGTCACTGGTATTCAATGCATCAAATCTATTCTTTAGACGGTCTCTAAATTCAGGAGGCATATATTCAAAGTCATATTTTCCCTCTCTTGGACTTGTTTTAATTGTCTTAAACTTCAAGTTGAACTTGCATATGAGCAGTTGATGGTCTGCTCCACAATCAGTTCCTGGCCTGGTTTTGGCTGAAGATATTGAGCTTTCCCATCGCCTCTTGCCACAGATGTAGTCAATCTGATTCCTGTGTGTTCCATCTGGTGAAGTCCATGTGTACAGCCGCCATTTGTGCTATTGAAAAAAGGTGTTTGCAATGAACAAGTCATTGGTCTTGCAAAATTCTATCATGCCATCTATCACCTGTTAATTCTATCACCAAGGCCAAATTTTCCAACTACTGGTGATTCTTCTTTGTTTCTAACTTTCACATTCCAGTCACCAGTGATAATACATCCTGATTGCATGTTCAGTCAATTTCAGACTGCAGAGTTGATAAAAATCTTCAATTTCCTCATCTTTGGCTTTGGTGGTTGGTGCATAAATTTGAATAATATTCGTATTAATGGGTGTTTCTGTAGGCATATGGATATTACCCTATCACTGACAGCATTGTACTTCAGGACAGATCTTGAAACATCCTTTGTGATTATGAATGCCACGCCATTCCTCTTCAAACTGTCATTCCCAGCATAGTAGATCATATGGTTGTTTGATTCAAAATGGCCAAAACCAGTCCATTTCAGCTCACTAATGCCTAGAATATCACTCTTTATGCATTCCATTTCATTTATGACAACTTCCAAGTTTCTTAGATTCATACTTTGTACATTCCATGTTCCGGTGATTAAAGGATGTTTGCAGCTGTTTTTCCTCAATTTGAGTGGTGCCACATCAGGAAATAGAGGTCTCGAAAGCTTTCTCTTATCTATATGAGTAAAGCTGGCTTTACTCTGATGATGCAGAGGGGTAGGGATAGGGTTAGGGGAATAAATTTAGGCACTTTGTGAGTAGGACGTCACTGTGGGACATCCCAGTGGAAATGTCAAGGAGAGGGGTGATTATAGATGTGGAAGCTGGGCTGCAGAAATAGATTTGGGATCAACACACAGTCATGGGGCAGGATGGGGTTTCACTTGGTTCTCCTTCCTGGGGCAGGCATGTGTCTACGCCTTTCTAGGGCCTTGGCTCATACCTGGCTGGGATACAGAAGAGGGTTTTGGGTAGGTAGAGATAATGCTAAGAGGTAGCCATCTCAGCCTCGGGAAGGCTTACTTATGTTCTAGATGCTTCATCATGAGGTTGGACCAGCCTGGACCATCATGAGGTTCTTCCCCTCTCATAGCTGATGGAGACACTCTTGACAGGTGATCCCCTCATAGCTGATGGTCTTGACACCTCTGTATACCATTTCCATGCCCACAGCCTGGGTCCATATAAAATCCTCAAATGCAAAGAGCTAAGGGCAGGACATCCTGGTCAGCACTGTACCAGCTCAGGTAACTGGGTGGGTGGAGGGGCTGCCCTATCAACTCTATCTGCCCCTGCCTCAACCATAGTTGGGAGAGTCCTTCAAAAGAACCTCTCCTGCCAAGAGGCCCCAGACTCTCAGCAGTGCTGACCGCATTGGTTGGTTGGCTCTGGAAATCTGGGTTGGGACAGCTTACTGTTTTCTAAGACAATGGCAGGCACTCACTATTAGTTGTTGCCTGGCTTCTGGCCACACATTCTGGGGCTTTACATCAGGGTGGATTATCTTATAAACAAGGTAAGTACAGGCTTGCTTGTTCTAATTTACTAATCTGTAGTGAACAATTTCACATGGGTTTCACACAGATGTGGTTAAAAAAAAAGTCAAACTGTTTACTAAAGATTAATAAGTAAGCACAAGTAAGCCCGTGTTTACCTTGCTTATTGGGTACTCCGTGCCCTCTTCACATGGATTATCTGACTGAGAGTGGAAGAAAATGAAGTTCTGACATTTAAGTGATCAAGATAGGCTGCCCCCTGGTGACTACCCAGGCATGTTTGGGGCCCACTTGGTAACCCCTGTGCTGGGTGAGAAAGAGGCTGTGAAGGCCAGGGGCTGGACCACTAGACCACACAGTGCTCAACAGTACTAAGGCCAGGGAGTACACAGGAAGAGGGGCCTGTGTGGGGACAGCCTGGATGCCCTGCACTCCTCCTCCTATGTTGGTCTCACTTCAGGGAGGCCTGGATGGAACCCAGAGTGTAAGCACTGGGGGTGTGTCCTGGCTAGGATGTGTGGATGCCAAATCCCCAATGCTCCAAACAGGCTGGCTTAAGCCCTTTCTCTAGACTCCAGGGTTCTGTGAGACCTCTCTCCTGCCCAGTGCTACCCTTCATCTTGTAGTAGGTGTCAGGAACCCTGGTCCCTGGTCCCACACCCTCTCCTGGCTTGCTGTCCTACCCCCTCTGAGTGGCAGTTTCCAGCTGATTGGGGTATCCCATGGTCTGTCAGGGCTCTGGATACTTCAGCCTTGCCTGGAAGATTGGCAGAAGACTCCTCATCAGGAACCACAAACAGGGAGCAGGATCCAGGGCCCTTTGGCATGCAGAGACCCCGTGGCAGACAGCACCTCCCTCACCTCTTCCCTTCTGGTATCCCACCTCAGCAGGAGCAGAGTGAGTGCTATTACAGGGGACCTAGGTGAGGTTTCCCCTGTTCCTGGTACCCCTCACACTCAGCTCTGCACTGCTTTGGGAAGAAAGGACTCAAATGAGAAGTTGCTCTGGAGGTAACATATATCTTCCTCCCACTAAGTGAGGATCAGGAATGGTGAGTGACAGCACCTTGGGCAAGTATGGGGTCTACCTATGTTCCAGGAATCCTCCCCTTAAGGGAACAAGGGGCAACCCCAAAAAAATAACTACAACAACCAACTCATTACTGTTAAGTCAATTCAGACTCATAGCAACCCCTCCTTGGGTTTCTGAGGCAGTAATTCTATGGAACTAGATTGCCCAGTCTTCCTGCCGATGAGTGGCTGGTGGGTTTGAACCACCAGCCTTCTGGTTAGCAGTCAAATGCCTTAGGCACTATGCCAAGGAGCCCTCTAATCCCTGCCTGGAATGCAAGGAAGGCTTGGGGCAACAGGACCCCAGGACCTACCTCTCTCAGCCCAGTCCTGGTCCTGACTCCTGGAGCTGATGTAAGCAGTCAATTATGCCCTGGCCTGTGCGTCTCTTGCCTGTGCCCCTCTCCCACCTGTAGGCAAGTAGGTTCTTGCCTGGAAAAAGCTGAGTGTAGTCCTTGCACGGGGTCCTTACAGGTCCACCTGGGAGCTCATGGTACTTTTGTACTTCCCCAGGCTAGACCAGGGGACAGTGTGGATGAGCAGCAAGTGGGGCTAAGCTCCAGTGGGTGCCAGTGGCTCCTGGTACTAGCTTATCTTCTCCAGGGCTTGGGGTTCCCAGTTCACTAACTTTCATTGCTACTGCCTCTTACACTCCCATATTTGAGCCCAGCAGCATCTCACCAGCACTGAGCAGAGGCAGAGGCACCACTGCCACCTGGCCTGCCTGCCCCTGCCCACTCAGTCCCCAGTCCCCCATAGGTGGCACCCCCCACCCTGAGTCTTGATACCTAGGACATGACCCCAGGCAGCCCCAGAAGCCATAGAGAAGTGCCAGGACAAAGCCATAGATGGAGGCTTTCCAAGGCCCCAGCTCCCTGAGAGACTGAGTGCAAGACTGTGCCCAGGCCAAAAGAAGGGCAGGCTGGGTGAACCATCTCCTCACTCTTATCCTGGATCCTACTCTGAAAGGTGGAGCTCCCCTCTTGTACCCCCAATTCCTGCTTGGCTTCTTACCACGGAGAGATAGAAGGGAAGGAACACTGGCTCTCCCCTCCTCCCTCAGGGTCCAGATGCATAGCCCTGGCTAAGCCAGTATGGCACCCAACAAGGCCTTAGATCCAGCAGGAATAGAGGTAGATTCTCCCAAGAAGAAGGGGCTGAGCTGCAACAGTGGAGCTTGGAGAACCCTGGGCTCTTCCTTGAGCACGTGCCCTCCAATGGGAAACAAATGCCCCTATCTCCCAGTACACAGCCTGTGCCTGTAAGTATACTTGTAAGTGTGCTTGCTCCCTAGCCCTGAGGTCTCAAAGCCCAATCCTACAGTGCCAGGCAGGAAATGAACATGAGGGAAGAGGGTGGGTATAAAACGATACTCATCCTTAGAGTTGGAGACAACCAGGAGTGGTGGGCTTGGAGGCAAACTGGAGAGTACCTTCTGGACTTACATGATTTCTTTGTGCAAGTAAGAAAAAGGTGCACACAGTCCTGTACACAGCTCGTGGCCTGCATCTTAACTACTCTCTTCCACCTCCCTATTTGTAGTTCTTTGTGCAGTTAACAATCTGTATAACTCTATATGGTGGCCCTGGCCCTACATAACACAGGTAGCCATGCAGCTCTAGCCTTCATGTTGCTAGAGCTTCCAGTTCTTCAAGCTGAATATTGGGATGATGCAAAAAATCCTGAATTTTAAACATTAGAAGTAAACTCAGATTCAACACAGGCAGTTTGCTTTCGCAAAGATCTACAGCCTTGGAAATCCTACGGGGGCAGTTGTATACTGTCCTATAGAGTCACTATGAGTTGAAATCAACTCAAGGGCAGTGGCTTTGGCTTTTTTTTTTTTTTTTTTTTGATGGGACAAATGAAGCCTGTCTGTGTTGCTGGTACCAAGGTGCAGTTGTTGCCACAAATGCCCAGCCTCAGCACAGGGAGGAGGCTCGTACCCTTAGCCTGGCAGCATCTATCAGCCCCCTCAGGTGCTGAGCTATTCTGCCTAGAAGGGCACCCACCTCACACCCACGGGGACCTGGCTGGCCCAGACCAGTGGCCACCCTACCGGCTTGGGGCAATGGATGTAGCGTGCCAGGCTGATGATTAGGTCATGTGTGATGGGGTCCACCAGGTTCCGGAAGCTGGCATAGCGATACAGCACATCGTCCAGTGAGGTCGACTCCATGCCCAGGTCCTACAATAGCAAAGGAATGCCAGGTCAGGGGTGGCAACTCCACCAGCTCTCGAGCCCTCAACTCAATACCCTCTGCTCAGCCCCGACCATGGGGGTGGACCAGCTTCTCCTAAGCCCTGGCAAGGGAGGAGCCCCACCTTCAAAGAGGCTTCCCAACCTGCAAGGAAACTTCTACATGTCCCTCTACATGTCTCTCTCTTTCAGGGGCCCCAACCAAGGGAGAGGAGGAACCAGCATCTGTAGGATCCACTGAGACATGCCTTTGGGTTTGTGGACACCTCCCAGTAGTAGAGCCCCCCAGCATCCCTGAGGATGAGACAAAGGATAGATGGCTTTGGCACCACTGTCTGCTCAGGGGCAAAATTTTGGAAACAAGACATAGAGCAAAATTCCCCTGCCTGTGTGACAGGGCAATTTATTGATGTTTCTTTGTGCCTTCTTCTTGTTATTGGTTATTTTTGCTGCTCCTTTTGTAGAAGAAGACCCATCTTCACTGTTCCTTTGCCTTGGGGGTTTTTGAAATGTAGGGTTGAAAGGGGAAGTTGTCAGGCACCCAGAAGAAAATCCACCAAACCAAAAAAACCCAAATCCATGGGTAGTGTGCCCACCACCATGTATAGGGTTAGCAGACAGTGTTTTTACATGTGTATTTGTATGCACTGTAAGAATGTCCAGGTATATAGTAGAACAGACAAGTGGCAATGCTGTGGTGGCTTCTTGGCACAGCCAGCTACCTAGAGGGTGTGAGTAGTTGGACCTGTGGGCTCGGGACCATGGTTGCAGGGGACATGAAGCCCAATAGGCATAACATACTACACAAAAATATCATTCTACATCCTGCTCTGGTGAGTAGCGACTGGGCTCTTACTGCAAGTGGCCATCTAAATGCAATGATGGGTTTCTCCTCGTCCAGAGCAAAGAAGAACGAAGAAAACCAAAGATGTATAGAAACAATTCGTCCAAGGGACTGGTTGTTATTGTTGTTATGTGCTGTCAAGTTGGCCCCAACTCATAGTAACCCTTCTTGGGTTTCCAAGGCAGTATCACTACAGAAGTAGATTGCCCCATCTTCTTTCCGAGGAGTGGCTGGTGGGTTTGAACCGCCAACCTTCTGGTTAGCAGTCAAGTGCCTTAGGCACTATGTAGACCATGCAATCCTCGGCCTATATGACCATGAGATGAGGAAAACTAGATGATGCCTGACTACCACTGTCAACCACTTGGAGGAGGACTGGTGCATGAGATCCTGGATAGAGTGGGAGAGTGATGTGGAACAAAACTCAAAAATCATAAAAACCTGGTGTGCTGGTCTGATAGAACCTGGTGAGATGCCTGAGACTATGGCCCCTAGCCACCCTTCAGGTCTGGAATTGAACTCACTCCAGTGGCTTCCAGCCAAACAACAGACAGGCATATGGAATGAACATTCACATCAGGTAGATACACTCCTTGGAGTGATCAATCATGGGAGAACAGAAGGGCAGTGTTTGTACAGGGAGACAGCTCAGGAGGCGGGAGTGCGAGGGAGGGAAGGACATAGGGAAGAGGTAACTATAGGGAGGAAGTAAGAAGGGAGCTGTTGAATTGTGGAGAATTGTGGTCAATGTCATGAGACAAAATGTGTATGAACTGAGGTATGGAAAATGAATTTTCTCTGTAAACTTTCACCCAAATCATAATAAAAACCATATATATAATATATATGATGTACAACATCCTTAGCTATTAGGGATGGAAATCAAAAGCACAAGGAGATCTACCACCTCATCCTCATTGGAATGGCAATGATCAAAAAACCTGAAAACAACAGGTGTTGGCAAGATTGTGGAGAAACTGGAACCTTCATCCATTGGTAGTAGGAGTGTAATATGGTGCAGCCACTATAGAGAATAGTTTGGTGTTTTCTCAAAAAGTTGAACACAGAATTACCATATGGCCCAGCAAACCCAATCCTAGGTATGTGCTCAGAAGAAGTGACAGCAGGAACACAAGCAGAAACTTGTCCATCAATGCTCATTGTAGCACTTTTCACAATAGCCAAAAGGTAGAAACAACTGAAATGTCCATCAACAGATGGGTGGATAAACAAAATGCAGTACATGCACACAGAGGAATACAACTCAGCCATAAAAAGAAAGGAAGGCCTGATGCATGCCACAACATGGTTGAACCTGGAAAACATCATGCTGAGTGACATAAGCCAGTCACAGAAGGACAGGTACTGTATGATCTCACATATATGAAACAAGCAAATATATAGTAACCAAAGATTATCAGCAGTATCCGATTACCCAATAAGCAAGGTAAGCATGGGCTTACTTGGGCTCACTTACTAATCTATGGTGAACAATTTCACATTTTTTTCACCACACCAAAGATTGTACTTCTAGGTATGGCTGGCATCTGTCTCTCTCCCAATCCCACAGCACTTTCCTATACAATTAAAGCCTCTATTCAAATTTTCAAAAAAACAAAAACAAAAAAACCCAAATCCATTGTCACTGAGTCAATTCTGACTCATACTGACCCTACAGGACACAGCAGAAATGCCCCATAGGCTTTCTGAGACTGTAAATCTTCATGGAAGGAGACTGTCTCATTTTTCTCCCCTGGAGTGGCTGGTGGGTTAGAACTACCAAATGCTTTAACCACTATATCACCACAGATCCTCTGAAACTCCACCAGGGCTCCCCAATAAAGGTTACTAAGTGGGGTCCTCCTACAGAAAGGGGGAGGATGGAGGTGAGAGCTGCTGAGGGGTGGTGGGGGCAGAAACCACTGGAGCAAAGGCTTCTCAAGCCTGAGGGAGGGCATCTCAGCATCTCACTACATGCTGAGAGCCCTGGCTGTGAGCCTCTGCAGAGACCCCTGCCCACTAGCAACAGACCTCATGGACTTGGCCAAGAGCAGTGACCAGTGTACATTAGAACCCAAGAGCCCTCTGCTAAGTATTCTGGATGCATCTGACCCTAAGATTCTTGTATAACCCCAGGGAAAGCTGCCCCCCCCCAATAACACAATTTCCCACCAACCAAGAGGGTGGAAGCTTGAAACAGAATGACCAGCTTTAGATGAGTCCCTGGGCAGTGCAAACGGTAGCACACTGAGCTACTAACCAAAAGGTTGGAAGTTCAAGTCCATCAAGAGGTGCTTCAGATAAAAGACCTGACAATCTGCTCCTGAAAAATCAGCCATTAAAAACCCTACAGAACTCAGTTCTACTCTGACACATAGTGGATCACCATGAGTTGGTATTGATTTGACAACAACTGCACCAGATCTACGTTAGAAAAGTAAACAAACATGATTTTCCTACCCTAGAGTGTATGGGGTTTGAGAAAAGAGAGGTGTGTCCACTTTATTTTGCAAATAGAGGGTATGTATTTAGTCTAAAACTACATACCCTCTATATGCAACTATATGCAAAAGAAAGTGGGCACACCTTCTCTCTTTTCTCAAACCCCATATCCTCCCTTGCCCTCCCCCAATTTCTGTCACCCTTGGCTTTGGCTCCTGCCCTAGCTTGGTGGCTGGCATAGACTGGCAGTGATTTCAGCATTTCTCAAACTGAAAGAACTGAAGAAAAAATTTAAGCCTCGAGTTGCAATATTGAGAGATTCTATGGGCAAAATATTGAATGAGGCAGGAAACATCAAGAGAAGATGGCAGGAATACACAGAGTCACTGTACCAAAAAGAACTGATCGATCTTCATCCATTTCAGGAAGTGGCAT